CCCCAAAACCCCAAAACCCCTAAAGACTAAAATTTAAAAGAGTTGGTGAAAAAGTATTATTAAAAGCAATTATATATTATACTGTGAAATAAATGATAGTTGAGATTAATAAAAGTTAAATGACAGTGCGAGTGTGTGTGAGTGATCAAATTTCAAAAGAGTAATCAACTACAATATCGTCCATATCTCCTAATTCTGATATTTACATCAATTACTTTGAATCTTGAGCACTCTTACTAAACTTGAAAATTCACTACTTGCTCTATTTTTTAGAAAGAGCTTTTTATGCATCTTATCTTAATTTTCTTTCGTGTCTCTATTAGATTTCTAATCTTGTCTTCCATGTTTGTGCATAATTTTCATTCTCTTTCTTGAGCCATATCAGATCTTCTCTGTATCTAGCATCTGAGGGTAATGGATTCGGAACAGGGAATGCCTTCATTGGTTCCATCTAGTCAATATTCCAGTACTCTTTGTTATCGATCAATAAACTTTCTAAAATAGAACCATTTATCTAACATATTTCTCTTTTAATATCCTTAATCTCACTAAGCTTGGATGGCTCCTTTTTCTAGAGATTCTATTCAGGGTCATAATCGTAAATTTTTCCAACAAATTTGTCATATCTCTTATGTTGGAAAATAATGACTGCCTTTAAGCCATTTCTTCTGTCTTCAAAAGTCATTTGTCCATCAATGTTAAGAACTCTATCCCCGAACAGCATCCCCCCTAACTTGATAGTAGGAAAGTGATAGGTTATCTTTTGACCATCGCTGAATGAAATGTTATTAGGACCATCATTTTTCATTACTAATGTATTTCCACTAATTTTAGCCTTAAATTCGTAAAAACCGTCAATCTGATAAGTTTTGTTAACGTCCTCTATCAGAAAATTTGCAATGGGTGGGTGATGGCTAGTGTGTTCACAATAGACACGAGTCCCATCAGTAAATGATGCTTCGTATGTCTCTCCTAATAAAGGGTTGAAAGGTTTCTATTGCTTTACTGCACAGTATAATCCTGATATTGCATAGGAAATAGTCAACTTCATCCTTTCAAGATGGTCCTCTGTGCGACCAGCTTATTTAAGAAAAATGGGTGCAAATCCATACCAATCGGTTATCCTCTCCAAAAGACTCCTTGGTTCAAATATCCTCACTGGTAACGATATAGCAATAACACTTTAACCAGACCAAACATTAGACGCCGCTTGGGAGATTACACTCTTGACCACTCCTTTCTGCTTTTCTAATATTTTTTCATCAACGCATTTTAATCCATTCTTCTCTTAAATTAGTAAACCATGCAATATATCATCCTTTTTACCAGAAAATTCAGGCCTTAATTGATGGTAAGTTAGATATGTTGGAGGAGGAGCGTCGCCTACTAGGTTTTCTGATAATACCCTCGGGTTCATATAACTTCTAGGCAGTAAAAGCTTGCTGCTGGACCAAACTTAAGGATCATTTCCACCATCCTCAGGAGACGTGTATAAGTCTCTCGGAGTTTCATCTAGTATTAATAAATTAAGAGGCTCTACTTTAATTGTTTGCATCAATCCACCACTGCTTCGATTGTCACTAAAGCTTTCTCCAAGTTGATCAATCAGTCCAGTTCTCTGAAGTGAATTATCATTTGATTACTAATTCATTACAGTTACCAGATGTTTCTGATTGTTAGGCTTATCATTTAGAGTCTGTGCAAGTTGCTTTGATAATGGAATCGTTAAATAAAGCTCGTTACTTCCTGCCACTCCTGAGTTACTGACCTTCCTGCTAAAAGAGCTCTTTAGATTCTTAGAGTCTCTCCATGCCCAGTTAAGTCAATTCTTCTTGTGATCAAGATCGCCCCCTAGCATTGGTATCACGCTGAATGACTGATAGCATTAATCGTTTTCCTATTTGATCATAGTTGATGACTTGTCAAAAAATTTCTAGCCTTTACTTTTGATCCCTTGAGGTGTTGAATTATTCTTAATGAGGACATGCTTAAGTGTTTTAACTGAATTATCTTTCCTTAGCTTCACATCATTATTCAATGTTAAATCAAATTTGTTGGTTTTACTTAAGTAGAAATTTGATTTTAGTTTTCTTTCATTAAATGATGTCGTGATCTAATCTATCAAAGTATTAAATATAAATATGCAATTGACTAACCTCCTATATCAGATTTAAGTAAAATATAATATATTACCTTAGATGAGCACAAAATCCTCCCAGTCGACATGTTCGTCACAATCACCGCCTATTTTTACAATAGTAGACATCTTATTCACCTTTTCCATTCTTTTTTTGACTATTATTTTCAATTATATTAATTAATCAAACAAGGTTTTAGAGTAGAATCTGTAAAATAAAATGTTAGATTTTGATTGATTATAGTTTAAAAATAGCAAACAAAAAGATATGATAAAGGTGGGATTTGAACCCACGCCCTTTCGGACTAGCGCCTGAAGCTAGCGCCTTAGACCACTCGGCCACTTTATCTTTTACGTCTGTTTACCCTATTCACAGGCTCATATTGATCCTATCACTCAGCTGTGGACTAATAATTATTAGCAAAATCTCCACATTAACAGCATATGCAGATTTTGATAAAATTTGTTAAAAATATTGAAATAATGAGAGATTCACTTTAAAATAACATAAATATAGATATGCTTCAAACAACCATATTTTTTTGAGAATTAATAGTACCTAACTTATTAGAGAATTGAAGGTAATAATATGGTTCTTTTATAATAAAAGGATAGTGATAATTTTAAATAAGCAAAGAGCGGGTTCAAAGTAATTCAAATTTTCTCAATTTTAATATTTGTTAATTTCTTGCAAATTTTGATGATTTTATCTGGTGGGGTTTTGGGGTTTTGGGGTTTTGGGG